TTGGGTAATTTCTTTTGTTCTGCCTTCACATTAGCTCCTTACTCTGATCTCTGCTTGCTGCTATTGATCTCATCCATCATGTTTTCATTTTGGTTATTGTACTCTTCAGTTTGAATATTCCCATTTGATTTGTCTTTTTGTCTTGTGTTTCTGTGCTGAGGCTTTGTATCTTTTCATTGGTTTCATGCATGCTCATCATTTCTCACTGAAGCATTTTTATAGTGACTACCCTTCAAATCCTTATGAGATCTTTCCAAGTCTTGGGTTATCTATGTTGTGAAATCTGTTGATTGTTTCCTTTAGGCAAGTTGGTATTTTCATGGGTTTTGGTATGATACTGATTTTCAGTTATATCCTGGATATTTTAGGTATTAAGTTATAAGCCTCTATATCATACGTAAAATTTCTGTTTTAGCAGGTTTCCTCTAACACTACACTAGTATTTTTTTGGGGGGAGGATGGGTTCAGCCTCATAATACCAGTTAAGGCAAAGGCCCAGGTTCCTCACTCTGCCTCTCTTTGCATCTGTGGGGGGACTCATTCCTGCTGGATAGAGGTGAGATTTCAGGCTTTCTTTGAGGGCTCAACTGATACCTCCTTAGATGGGAAAGGGAAGGGCATCCTGTTACTGTTCACTGACTATGCAGCAAGGTTGGGAAGGCCTTGTTACTTCTGGATGGTGGTGAATTTCAGGGACCCCTATGTCATCTACTGACAGCTTATTTGGGGATGGGGAAGTGTTACCTCTAAGTTAGAGTGAAAGTATTCCCATGCCTTCTTCTCTGATAACCTAGCAGTAGGGGATAGGGACCTTGTTACAGTCAGGCCTTTGCTGACAGGGTCTGTGGATAGAGCAAGGCAGTTAATATCCAAAAGTTTACTGTCTTGCTAGGTTGGCTGCCCCTTCTGGCTGAGGAAAGGCTGTTCTTGACATTTTTGTCTGAAGCCACTGTTATTTCTGGGGTGCTAGTTTCTTCAGCATTCAGTCCAGGATATATAAGGAGGAAAAAAACGCAGGTAACTCACCACCATGTTGTTCCTCAGGTCTAAGGTCCCTAGCTAATCTATTTTCTTTTCTTCCTTTCTGAGTCTTTTTTAAATAAAATGTCCAGAGTTTTAAACTATAATCAGTGAGAGGAATAGAGAAAAGTATGCCTATTCTATCTTGGTCTAGAATGAGACCAAGTCACTGGGCTTATTTTTAAAATGGAACAGAGAAAAACATTTCTAATTTTTCATATCTATTAAGTTGAATAGGGCATGATGTTAACAAACTACATTCATATGCATTGTTCTTTTTTATTCTCAAACCACCTTGTGAAAACATGGTATTATTAGGATTCTCCTTTCTCAGAAGGGATAACTGATTTAGAAGAGATATTTCTGACCCAAAGTCACATAGTGTTAGTCACAGGACTGAGCAAGAATTAGATTATTCTATTTGATGCCAAATATGTTTTAGCCAGACGAGGTAAATGTGTGAGTCACTAGGGTGAATAACAGACTCATAAGGTACTTTTGACTATTCTTTTGTGGTCCTCCTTCCCCATTCTGGCCTTCTTGTCTTGAAGGTGCAGGATGTCTTCTCCTGCTGTGGTGCAAGACTGGACATACTATGCATCATCAGAAAAGCTACTTTCCTGAAGAGCAGCAGGCGAGACCCAGAGGAGCCTTGGCCCTGGCCCCAGTGAGCATGTAGTAAGTACTGCCCCCTCTACCATGAGAAAACCCCATCCACGAGCACTGATCTCCTACCCAGACAGAACACAGGCACACAAGTATTCAATCATTTTCTCCAAGTCTGAGATGATGGCACTGGGAGCTTTCTTTTCCCCTTTACCTTCTCCTTTTATAAACTGAAAGGCTGTCTCAATAGTGCCAATCATTGGTGAAACCAAAGTTTAAAAGTAATGATTCAGAAGGTGATTGGTAGCTTTTTAAAAGCCAACCTGTTGGCCTTGTTGAGCTGCAGATGCCTTAGCTGTCCACACCAGCTAGGGGCCTATGCCATGATGTACTCAGCCCTCCTGACAGTAAGCACCCTATTCATTTTGGTCAAACCACACCATGATTATCCAAGATTTCAAGCCTTCACATCTTTCCAAATCACTCATGGCACAAGAAGTAAATTTCTTAAACCCAAAACTTTTAGAAAATACATATAATTAGTTCTATTGGAAAATTGGAATTTTGCAGATTTACAGATGCATGTGATAAGGCCTCAAAAAGCCCTAGCCTTTAAAGTTTTCCTTCCTAAATCTTTAAGTGACATTGACACCCCAGGATGATGTGCCACGTTGGTTTATGACTTTAAACATTCTCTGATATATTACCACACATTTCAGGGATCAATGTACTCAAGTTTGTGACACATAAAACCAGATAAAATATAAAACAAAACAATAAACATTCATATACTTCAATGCCTTACATACTTGTGGGCTTGCTAAAATTTATCATAAAAAGTCATCCAAAAATCAATGAGGAAAATTCATATGATAAAGGTCATTTTTATAAGTTGCCAATAAATAATTCATCAAAACCAAAGTTTATCAGGGCAGCATGATGAAGTATTTCTTAGTGGAGAGGTACTATTCACAAATATTCTTTTACTTAATTGCCAATGATAGAAAACATAAGCTTTACAACTTCTCTCCACCCATGTACCATGTCATATGCAGCCTAATATCACTGATTTGGACAAAGTAGGAAAAGATAAGTAATACTAGTGAGATTCCTGAATTGTAAAGTTTTAGAAAGAAATATGAGTAATTTTATTTAGCTTGAATTATATACAGTAACCAGAATTAAACTAAGATATATTAACCTGATAAAACAACTTTAGATGACCTGTTTAGTGGGCCCATATTTTGTACCAGGAAGTGTTCCTAAAGAGGGGAGGGGAGAGGAGAGAAGAGGAGGGGAGGAGAGAGAAGGGGAGGGGAGAGGAGAGGGAGATTTTAAGATATTGAGAAAAATACAAATAAGTTTAAACACCTGAATTTAAACTAGAGGTGTTGAAGTATAATGAACAACTTGCAGGAGAAAATGAAAAACAGCAACAACAATGACAAGCATAGTCAAATCAGTGAAAAGCAAGAAAAGAAATAAAGAAATTGTTATAAATGGGAAAAATAAGATAGGAAGAGTAGCAAACCTTATGTAATGGTTGTAATAGATAAATAAATAATAAAAAAAATTATAAAAAATAAATAATAAAATAATAGATAAAAAATAATAAATAAAAAATAAAATAATAAATAGATAAAACCCTTCTATTTCTGTTGCTACAGCCCTCAAATATCAAACTGAACTTCCTGAATAATAATGTCCTTGCCTGACATTTTAAAGTTCTTGTCAGTTGGGTATCCTGGTCAAGATAGCGAACAAAACAAAGTTCCTGCTTTTGTGGAGCTTTCATTCTGGTGGAGACAGACAGACAAAAAGCACCTAATAAATAACCAACCTATTTAGTATGTCAGTGGTGAAAGAACTACAGCATGGCATGAAGTGTAAAAGAGTGTAGGGTCATCAAGGAAGGCCTCACCGAGAAAGTGGCCTTTGTGTAGACTTGAGGTCACTAAGGAAGCAACAATGCAGATGCAGACTTCTAAGGGAAGAGAATGATAGGCAGAGGGCACAACAGGAGCAAATGGTTACTGTCTACATTTAAAACTAAGCAAATTAGCTAAGAGGTGGCTAAGTGTGGTCCCTGGAAAACCTGGAGGGTGTGGCATCTTAGAATTCAAATGAAGAAAGTGTTTCAAGATAAATGGAATAATCAACTGTGCCAAAATAGTAGACATATCAAATACTATGGAGGTGGAGGAGAAGGTAGGGTCAAGATGGGAGAGGGAGTCACCAAGAGAACAACCTGAGCATACATGTAACATTCAGGGTCCCCTCCCTAAATGATTTTAGGAAGTTTCAAAATAAAACACAAGACTGTCTATCTGAAAAGTAACCTAACCCAAAATGATTGCTAAAAGGAAGGGAATTGTAGAAGTGTTTGACATCTGATCAAGGAAATCAGAACTTAAAGAGGTGTTACCAGATTGTAACTATAACTGAAATGGTTAAAGCCTACTTGATTACATTTGCCCCAATGAAGGAAGACTGTTAAAGGAGAAGGACTCGGTTTGAGCAGGATTCATAATGTAAGAATTTGAGAAACAAAGTATGGTAATGTATTTCCAGCAATATAAGCCAGCAAAGTAAGGGTATTAGTGGACCTGAAAATTGGGTTCACTTAGCAGATACAGCTTTCATCTTAACTGTAAGGATGGACATATCTAGGGATTATTAGGTCATTAAAATCATCTAAATGATTTCTGGATCATAAAGCAGCTTTATTATTAATAGTTTTCCATATAGATTCCTTACAAGAGGTCAGTGTGCTTATTAGAGGACTCTAGTGTCTAGTCCTAAGGAGACGTTGCCAAGATACAGTAACAAGGTGACACTTTGATTTGTTCAGTATTGTCATGTGAGCTTGGCTCTAGTGGTCAGCAGCCTGGAATTGTTTGGATATACTGAAGCAAATGTAAGAGCCTAGCTTTGAAATGACCTGATGTATACCATCATTTGGCCTCCCAGGTGCCACTCAGATCTTATTCTTTGCCCATCTAGCCTTACGTTTGAAATATTGAACTAAGGAAAGAGTGTAGAAATAACAGCTAGAAAACCACCTAGGTCTCTGCTACCACTTGCCATGCCACCCTAAGCAGTGTCAGTCTTTGCAATCCTTGGTTTATGCATCTTTTAAATTGAGAATAATAGCAGCTCTTCTGTCTATGTTACTGGTTTGTTTTGAGGCTCAGAAAGAATATAAGTCTAAATCAAATGGCTTTATGAACGGAAGGTATTAAAACTGTCATCATTAAATGCCTTGAAGCCTGAGCATATTATTCATATACTAAATCACATTGCTACAATTATCTGAGGAAGGAAGGTAATATGAAAAACTATGACCCCACTGAAGAAAATCTGGGAATTCCTACCTCTCAGCAACGGGTTTGGCAATGACTTCAAAAATGATATCTTGCTTTGCATCCTGATCAAAAATCCTTTGGAACCTGCAATATGAAAATGGTTAATTATTTAAAAGCTGAGCTGTCAAACACTATTGGGTTAATAAATCTTGTTTTCCTAAAAGCTCTGCAGATGGCTCCACATTTATATCACTGGGCTTACCTAACTTAACACAATGTTTGCACTGTGATCCCCCCACACTGTGCTGTTGTATTCCTGTATACGAATGGTGGGTAAACAGTATTGCTTTGACAAGATCTGCACAATCAATCCTTCTGAAAAACTGCAGTAGCTTTGAGACAAATAATAAACTGTGTGTTTTTTGCTCTCAAGAGGGACAGTGTCTGCAATTGGCATCAAATTCAAATCTAGATAACTGCATGGAATGGAAACTCAAGAACAGGATGTAAACAGCCAACAAACTTCTGATGTCTGACCTGTGAGAAAAGAATGCAACTGTGAATTGTATGATTACAGAATTTAAAAATTTTTAACTTAAGTTTATTTTCTACTAGTGAGGTTCTGTATCTAAGTAACAACAACTTAATTCCCAGGATGGATTTGTTTTATTTTGTTGACCATGATTCAAAAGTCAAAAATTAAATTAAGATCAATCTGTTCTGCAAAGAGAAGTCTTTATCAGATTGGCAATGAGCAGGGGAATGGGGTAGCATGGTGTCAGTGTCACTTTTCTTGCAGTGCCAATGCAACTTAGTTCAGTAGAGGATCACAGTACAGTGGAATACTTGCAGGTAGGAGACACACACTGTTGCAATCTTTTACAGAGAGGTAAGGTACGACCAGCCAGCATGGCTCCCACTAAAATATCACAATTAGAGAGTGAGAGAAAGTAAATAGGACAAAATGTTAGTAAAGGCATAAGTGTCACAAAGATAAAGTATGAGTATTGATTGGGTTGTTTTCCACATTTTCTGTATATTTAAATTTTTCAAAATAAAAATTGTAGAAGGGGGGGCTTTAAAGCAAAAACTTTAAATGAAAACTTTGAGGGCATCCTAAGTAGCTTTCAGAGTGGGTTAGGAACTTCTGGTCTAAGTGCCTGCCTATACAAGTCACCTGGGTGCATGTTAAATTAGAGATTGCAGGTGAAGTGTAAAATGGTTTTTATTACTGAGGAATCCAGAAATCTGTAGAGCCAGAATGAAAACATAACATAGAAAGAAATTCATTGTCTTTAACCAACATTAAACTTCAAAAGATCCCTATCTCATCAACCTCTGCTTTAAAGAAGCAAATAATGAAGTATACAAAGTGGTATTCTAAGGCATTTGGCAGGCAAGATTATATTTTAGTCAGCAGTATTTACTGTTCTTGTACCAAGACCACTCCTCAAAATTCTATATACATGCCATAGCTTCAGACGTGAGCACCACCACCACACAGAGGCCCACACACCGTGGCTGCTGCATAGCATGCTGTTTGGAGCATGCCTACTGCAATGTCTGAGCAAGACTTCTAGCAGTGCCTAGCAGTGCCTTTGGGGAGACTGCTGAGATAGAAGGCTGGTTGGCCTCTTTTCACTTGGTAGTGATCAAGTGAATCAATTAGCCATTCGCTAAGCCCTTACTTGACTAATAGGAATTATATTTATTACCATATAATCAAAAGACATGGTAGGAAAAATTTTAAAGGCACTGAATTACACAAAGAACATATTTTGGAAGGTAGCTTATGTAAAATTAATTGTAGCATGTTTATATACTAATTGACCTGTTCACTTCACAAATATATACTCCCATGGATCAGGTACTCTAATAAAGTTTAAATTAAACTAATTTGTAATTTCAGTACAATACCTATAGTTTATTGGATTCCTTGGGAAAAATGACAACCTCCACTATTGAAAATAACAGGCAGTAGAACCAAATAATCCAGATCCCTCTATTTATTGGCTTCTCCCCAAACATTTTAGAATGACGATTTAAACATCAAAGTTTATAATAAATCATCCACTGCATATTATACATCCAATATCATCATCCCAAATATTTTATTTTATACAACACACTTGCATAGCCACCTGAAAAGGCATTTTGATCAGCTCTGTTCTGAAAACCACTGAATAGCAAAATAGAATAATAGATTTAGGAAGGGTTGTAACAAATTCAGTCTAATCACTTAGAGAGGATGGAGTTGAGGTTCACAGAGAGAAATGACTCATGATCCTAAAGATCATCAATAATACAACTTAAGACATTACTTGGATTTCCTGATTCCTAGGAAGTCCTTTTATTTATGAAGAAGTTATATAGGCTTTTTCTAAACTCCATTTCAAGCTAAGTATATGCTAATCTCGTCCTACCCCAAATTGTTCTTCCTGGAATCTTCCTCATCCTTGTAACTGACAAGTCCATCCTAAGTGTTCAGTCCAAAACTCCTTGGGCACTCTTGATTCCTGTCTTTCTATTATATTCTATAATCAGTTCACAGACAAACACTAACAGCTCTGAGTTTCAAAATACACCCAGGAACCAATTGCAGCCATCCCTCAGTATCCTCAATGTTCCAGGCCCCCCTCAGATACTAAAACCCACAGATGCTCACGCCCCCTATATAACTAGTATAATATTTGCATATAATCTATGTACCCTCTCTGTATGCTTTAAATTATTGCTAGATCATATACAATTAAATGCTACCTAAATAGTTGTGATTCTGTATTGTTTATGGAGTGATGAGAAGAAAAAAAAGATCTGTACATGATTAGCAAAGCCACACCTTTTTCAAATATTTGCAATCAACAGGTTGGTTGGATCTGTGGATGTTGCACTACAGATATGGAGGACCGACTGTTTCTCAACATTTCCACTGCTACCACCATGGTCCAAGCTATCACCAGACTTCTCTGTCCCCTTATGGTTTATTTTCCACATGTCATCAAGAATGATACTACTAAAATATAAGTGAGAAAATTTCTTTCTTCTGCTTACAACCCTCCTTTTCTTTCCAATGGCACATGGGGAAAAACTTGAATGCTCACTGTGACTCAGAGAGTTCCATATGCTCTGGCCACTCTGTGCCCCTTTGATCTATCTTCTTCCCATTTGCCCCTTACTTACTCTATCCACCTCTGAGGGTCCCATTACCTTTCCTAAAACATACCGGGCACTCTCCCATCTTAGGGACTTAATTCTCACTATTTCCTTGGCCTTGAATCCCCATCCCTCAACTGTTGGAATGGTCATCTTCCTCACCTTCTTCTAGTCTTCCTCCAAATGTCCCTTTTACCTCATCCCAGCATCCTTCATTCCTCCTCTATGCCTTGTTTTTCTCCACAATGCTTAACATGCCCTGGCATACGTTTTGCTATTATCAGACTTGTGTATCTTCTCCTACTAAAACATAAACTCTATAAGAGCAGGAACTTTGGCATGTTCCCTGCTGAATCCTAGCAATGAAAAGAGCATACAGTGGATATTTAGTTATTGATTAATTAATTGACTGAAGCCTTTAAAATGCTTAAATACGTATTTCTGAATATATGTATACATTGATATTTTATTAATTTGCATGTTAAATAGTAAAACCAATATTTTTAATCTAGAGTCAAGAGATTAAAAATAAGCAGGTGGTTCTTTTTCAGTAAGTATATGTTTAAATGCATCTCTATTTGTATCTATATAATTTTTTTTTCATTTTTCTTTTATTATTCATATGTGCATACAAGGCTTGGTTCATTTCTCCCCCCTGCCCCCACCCCCTTGTATCTATATAATTTAAAAGATATTTTGAAAAGGTCAATAGATACAGGCATGGTCAATTGTTCTTAATCTAATGGAATCATGCTGATTAAAATGTTTTAGCAAATTGTTGCTTTATAGAGATTGGCCATAAAGTTATAGCTATTAATATATGCTATATGCTTACATCAGTGAAAGAAAGAGTATAGAGAAAAAGCAGATCATGTATTATAGAATTACTCCTTAAAAGATATAATGAAAGACGATGGGAGTCACAAAATCAAGTTAAGGACAACCTCACTATGCAGCAATGTCTTAGCAATACCTGCTTGTATGAGATGAGTAAATATGGAAGGAAATACAGGAAATACATATATATTTCCTTCCATGTATATATATATGTATATGTAGATCTGAGAAGCAAAAGGCAGAGTTATAAAGACTCTTTATCTCTTGGTAACACAGAAAAAGAAAGAGAGAAAATAAGAATTTTAAAAGAAAAAGAGAGGGGCTGGGGGTGCAGCTTAGTGGTAGAGCATGTGCTTAGCATGCAAAGGCCTAGTTTGATCCTCAAATGAGAGAGAGAGAGAGAGAACAAGAGAGAACATAAAAAACCCAAAAAATATCTGGGATAGTTTTATTCAGAGGACCAGAGCAGAAATAGTCTCAAACTTGGATCTTCAGCTGGGCCAAAATAATCTACCATTAAAGTTTGGGTCAGAGATCATGAATGCATTTTACTTGGGCTCAAACTTCTCCAGAAATCAAAAGTGGAGATTAAAAGGAATGGCTCAATCTAAACTGGGGAATAAAGAAAAAGAAATAGCTATCACCCACACCCCTCCCCAGCGCAAAGCCTGGCTATCAGAAGAGCATTTGGATCAAAGGCACTAATGACTATCCAGGGGTGGCTGTTCAGCTTTTCACCTGAACCTCACAGTCCAGCACTTCTGAAGATAAATATAATACAATTCATATATGTGAAAGTATATGTGAGTAAAAATGCTCTAGTAGCCATGTTATTAAAAGAAGTAAAAAAAAAGTAAAGTTAATTATATTCTAATCCAATATATCCAAAATTTTATCATTATAATATATAATCAATATGAAAACCTTGATATGTTTTGCATTCTCAAAATCCTTCATATATTTTATATAGTGACCCGTGGCTGTTATACTGGACATCACAAATAACAAGTGTATGTATGTTCATATGAGATCTATGTATCATTTCTGTAATAAAGAAGGCTCACTCAAACAGAACACAGATTATGCCCTAAGGTCTCACCTTTAGCTTACTCCTGCATTGGCACTTCCTGTAAAGGCTACATCATATTGGGGTAAGTAGAAGAAAGGATAATACCAGAGAAACTTAAGCAGTAAGGAAAGGCTAGAATCTTGGGATTAATCTCAGATACAGAAATATACCTCTTTTCAACCTTCAAAACAATGGTAACCTTGAGTTCTATCTATTAGATGAGACCACTGTACTACTTTGTCCACAGAAATGGGGCTAATGATTTCACAGTGGATATTGAAGCAAGACAAGAGTTAATTCAATAATGAAACAGGAATGCAGAAGAAAAAAAGATCAACTTACTTAAATTTGTAGATTTCTCGTTTATTATTCACAAATCCATCTGCCAAATCACGCGGTAAGATAATCTCCAAGCTAGATGTTAATTTTTCATCTTCGTCTATGGAATAAATCTGTAAAAATCAAGACAACACATGAATGTAAACTGGCAAAATTCCAACTTGAACTCTGACCATGTTATTATGCTTTGCACTGTAATGGCATAAAAACTGTACTTTTAAGAGCAAACATCATAAGGCAGTATAATTTGGATAGTTGTCTTTGAACTGTGTATGGGCTCAAACAAATATTTTTAAAATACTGAACAAGAGGTAAAATCTAAACCAATGCTGTATCAAAGCTCACATAATCTTTAAATGATACATTATTTGCTATTCTACTATTCCTTCTAGCTACCATTTGAGCATTTGAATAACTCATTGTCATTGAAAACAAATAGCCCTGAAACCTATTTAAGTATTGATTTTATATTGTGTCATAAATTGACATTTTACTACAACCAGTAAGGATTCCTCAGCACTTACACACTACTAAACTCAGAGATACAAGGACAAAGTCTGAGCTTTTTCAGAGAGCTTACAAGAATGTTCAAACTTAAGTTATGTCCAAAAGTTCAAGCATTTGATAAGACATGTGCTTTCAAAAGGCATGTGCACTTCATGTCTTTGATGTTACTTTAAAGGTTTCCACTCCAGCTCAGCCAGTAATTGGCAAGGGAGGAATCACTTGGCCTCTCTAAGCTAATATGGAAATAGAAAGCTTTAATCAAAGCCCTGACAACTGTAGCATTCTCAGTTTCTCTTCTTGGTTACCTACTCTTTTATTTATTGGCCAGTAAAGTTAGGACTCAAGCCTATAAAGAAATCATGAGGAATAAGGAAAAGTCTAAGATTTGAAGTCTAAGTGCTTAGCTCACTTTACCAGTTGTGTGACCAGCCGCCACCTTCAGAATCAAGTTCCTTATACATAAAATGAGGAAAACAGAATTTCCTCCCTTCAAAGATTGCTGGGGGGATCAAATGATGTAATGGAAATGGAAGTATTTTGTAATGCACCATAAAAAGTTAGTCACTACATTTAGAGAGTTTTTTTTTTAAAGACTTCTTGTCTCTCCCCAGGTAATAAAATTCTTTCTTCAGGCAATACTTCCTGTTTAAGACCCATTTAGATGCTTGATTATGGGGAAAAAGTCATATTCCCAAATAAGTAAAAGCCTACCCAAGTCTCTAGAAAGTATGACTAATTTCCTAAGCAGATTTTCATCGAAAACTTTCATTTAAAATGTGAAAATGTCAGTTAAAAAAGTCATCCTGTAAAGTAAAGTTATTTGGAGAGTAATGGCATTGGGTTTGTGGTTTTCTGGCTAGATTTTCTCAAAAGCCATTTTTAAAAAAGTATATCCTATATGTTACTACACAAAAAAAAGTTTAATAGCAAGACAAGTGAGTGAAAGCAGCATATACAAGAAACACAGGAGTGAGGAGTGGCATACATGCTAAAAAAAATATCTGCTAAACATCAGCAGACAGAAAAAAATTGACTGAAGTAGGAACAATGATCGAACACCCTCCTGATTAAGCCATTCTTTGAGGCATTAAGAAAGACCCTTAGAGTCAGCCAACTTTAAAGTAATATAATGGCTTTCTACCCTTACTCATGAAAATATTTGTTATCTGAGATAGGATGGTCATTTTTTAGGAGAGAAGACAGAAAAAATGCAAGAATGAATTATGAGAAACAACCACATAGTCTTTTGGGGGCAAGAAGCTATAGCGCTAAAATATGGATTTTCTAAAGGAGACAGGGATCACTAACTCAGTATTTGTTCATTCCTGTTCTCTTCTTTTTGTGTATACATTTATGTAGCACGCATAATGGTATGTATCTGAGTAAGAATCTGACTTCATGAAAATGCAATGACAACTGAAAATGCCTTCTGGATGATCAAACAATCCACTGCACAGACTCACCCAAGAAATGTGGAAGGAGGCACATTAAAATATCTAGACACTGCGTTTTAGTGAAAGTAGAAGTTCAATATTAAATCCAAAACTCTCCATCAACTCCGCAACTCTCCCGTCTCTCCCCTCCTCGCTTTGCCAAACATAAGCATGTTACTAACTGTCTAGTCGGTGTATACTTAGCATTTTAGTTAATAATCTAGAGCTGAATATTACACACAATATACTTTATATGTGCACTTTAAAAACCTTCATGAAAACAATTGTAAGAGGAGATAAAATTGAAAGCTATACATGATTCTTTGTATACTGTTTCATTCCTTTTAATTTTCTTTGGAGTCTCTTCTTGCATCTTCTCCTAAATGTATTTCATGAGAAAAAGGACTGAGGATGAGAATGACAAAGATACATGCTCCTTGTTTTGAGTATATAAGTAACATGAGGCAAATGCTAAATTATGAGGTGCTGTGATGTTACACGTATACACAATGTAAATCTGGAAGAAATAAAACATTATAAATATATGCATTCCAGACACTCAGAAATAAGACTCAAAATTGCCCTTGCCTACATTCTCACTGTGGAAGTCACAAAAATATTTTTTGCCCGAAGAGGGGCTAGCTTTGGAACAAAAAAAAAGCCCTTAAACTCACAGTTCTGTTACTCACCAGACTGTGCCCTAGGCACACTATTTAAAGACTGCGTTTCCTCATCTGTAAAATGAGGAGAAGGACACCAACCTGCAGGGTTCTTGTGAGAATCAGAGCTGATACAGATAAAGCACCTATCTGGTGGCAATTTCTCAAGACATGTTAAGAATAACTGCTCCTTTTTAGGCGGAGAATACAATGTTCTGAAATATTTAAGAAGAGCGCACAGTATTTCTGCTCAAAGCAAGGAGACTGCTTTAACATTCCTTGTCATCTTCTGGATTTAGTACACTAGAGGAAGCATATAGTAAATTCTTACGTTTTCTGAATGAAGGGTGTACGTGTATTTATGTCCCAGTGCAGAAACATCTCTCTCAATATAAATCTACAATGAGTATATGTCAAGGATGGTGTTTATGTTGCAAAATGACAAGAAATTCCTGAGAGCCCACTGCATGCAATGTACTGAATATCTGTATATTTGTGTATTTGTTTCTATTTGTATCATTTCAGACATTTATAAACATGCATCTCTTGCTTGCACGTATTTTCCCCGTACGCGTGTGTTTGTGTAGCTGTAGGAAGGTGCAAGTGCTGTGTGTGGTCAGGCGTAGTCCACGTGAGTGTGCCCCAGTGCGCACGTGGCCAGGCGCAGGACAACTGGCTCCTGGCAGGGTCTGGCTGCGCCCCCAGGGCTGAGCGGGTGGCGAGTGAGCTGCGTGTCTGTTGGCCACGTCCCTGACAGCGTGCTATTGCTTCTGGGGCTCAGCGTACGCGGTATCCGGACGCCCAGGGCCCTTCCCCGCAGCCCGCACCCCCCCCCGCCCCCCGCAGTCTTCCCCGCCTCCCGTCCCCAGCGTGCAGACCCGCGGCGCCGGTGCCCGTGCTGCTGTGGCCCGTACCCCTGGTTGGTGCTTCCGGGCGGGGGGCTTTACCCTCGCGAAAATCTGGATCGTCTGCTTCACCATCTCCTCTGGCTCTGCACTGACCCTTGATCTCGCTCTGTCCCTGGCTCCCAAGACTTCCACTCCCACTAAATAGGGAGACCCGCAGCCTTAGCAACAGTAACTAGGGATGCTACCCAAGTTGCACCGCGGCAACTGGGACCCCGCCTCCTCGCCCTAATTGGTCACGGATGCGGAGGGTCCGGCAGGAGGGCGGGGGTGTGGGGGGTGGGGGGGCTGAGGGGCGGGGCTGAGGAGGGCAGAATGGAGAGCGAGGCGCATGCGCACCAGCAATGGTCTGGGACCAGCGCTTAAAGGAGTCAAGGAGTACCTTACCTTGAGTGGATTCTTGACACACTCTTTCTCTGGGCCTTCACAGTTATCCTGCCATTTATCGCTCATTCATTGAAAAAAACTGCACCTGAAGTATGACATGTAGTACTCTGGCTGGGAACCCTGAGTTGAGCCAAACTCCCAGGGTCCACGTGGAGATGACACTTTCAAAAGAAATTTACTAGCAAGGGCTAAGGACAGTGCTGTGGTCAGTGGTAGGCACACGGTTCTGTCTTGCTCTCTATTGTAAGAGGATCAACCTGCAAGAAGGGGGACTGCTTCCCATGGAACAGACATCTCCAGAAAGCATGGGTTCCTCAGCCAGCACTCAGCACCTGAAAAAGGGTTCAACCTCATTATCCACCTGGGAAGTATAAATTAAAACCACAGTGAGATATCACTTTACACCTATCAGAACGACTGAAATAAAAAAAAAGTAGTGACAACATCCGATGATGCTGACAGAGATGCAGAGACAATGACTCACTCATACTTTACTGGTGAGATTGTAATATAAAATATATACTATATAATGATACAGACATTCTGGAAAAATTTGATAGAGTTTTTCGTTTTGTTTTTGAGACAGGGTTTTACTATGTAACCTAGGTTGGCCTCAAATTCACACCCTTGGGCATTTATCCCAGAGAAATGAAAACTTGTTTTCACACAAAAACAATCAGACTCACATCTGAAATCCCAGGTACTGTAGAGGTAGAGACTGGGAAGATCATGGTAGAGGCCAGCCTAGGCAAAAAGTATGATGCCCTATCTGAAAAAATAACTAAAGCAAAAAAGGACTGAGAGCATGGCCCAAGTGGTAGAGTGCTTGCCTAGCAAATGCAAGGTCCTGAGTTCAAACCCCAGTACCAACGAAACAAAACAAAAAAACCATATACTTGAGTATCTGTAGCACCTTAATTTGTGATAATTCCCCAAACTGGAGGCAACTCCTATGTCCTTCCGCTGATGAGTGGTTACACAAACTGTGATGAACTATGGATATATGTAACATCTTGGATGAACTTCCAGGGAATTCCATTGCATAAGTAAAAAAGCCAAATCCAGAAGTTAAATACTGTGTGATTCTATTTACATAACATTCTTGAAATGACAAAATTATAGATATGGAGAGAAGATTAGTGGTTGCCTGGGAGGTAGAGAAAGCATAAAGTGACTATGGCCAAAAAGAAGTCCTTGCTTCTGTATGTGACTGCAGTGGTGGTCACAGAAATCCACACGTAACAGCACTGCATGGAACAAAATGTACAAACACACAGATGAGCACACTGAAAAAGACTGATGACTGTTATGTCAGTTCCCTGGTCATGATACTATACTAAGGTTATGCAAGATGTTACTATTGTGGGAAACTTGGGGCAGGGTATGCAAACTGTATTATTTTTACAACTGCATGTGAATCTACACTTGTCTCAACATAAACATCTTTATAAGACACTCCTGCTGGCCGCCAGTGGCTTACACCTGTAATCCCAGTTACTTGGAAGGTTTAGATGGAGAAAATTGTGGTTCAAAGTCAGACCAAACAAATAGTTTGCGAGACCCCCATCTCCAAAGTAGTCACAGCCAAATGGACTGGAGGTGTGGCTTAAGAGGTGGAGCACCTGCTTTGCTAGTGCAAGGCCCTGAGTTCAAACCCCAGTCCCACAGAAAAAAGAAAGAAGAAAAGACACTCCTATGAAAATGAAAAGGCAAGAAAATTTGGGAGTAAACTAAAGCTGATAAAGGACTTTCATCTAGAATATATAAAAACTTTAAAACTCAATAATAGGAAAAAAAATCAAAATTTCAAAACTGAGGATCATGACCCAAATATTTGAACAAACACTTCACCAACAAGGATACATGGCTGGCAAATAATTACATGAAAAAGATGCTCAATGTTATTAATCATTAGTGAGATACAAGTTAGAACCACTTCACATCTCTTATAATGGCTAAAAATAAGAAAAGGAAACTGATACTAGCAGGTGCTGGCACAGACACAGGCATCTGGCACTCTCAAACATCACTAGAACAGAAGCAAGATGGACCAGTCATATTGAAAGAGAATTTCATAGTTTCTTATGGCATAATACATGTAATTTCTGTATGACCCAGGAATCCCATGCCTGCCTAGATACTTAACCATGTGAAGTGAAAACTTAATGTTCACACAGGAAAGTAAATATGAATGTTTATAGTAATTTTATTCACAATTGCCCCAAACTAGAAACAAAGTGAAACTTCATCATCTAGCCAATAGACAAACAAACTGGTACTTCCATAAAATAAAAAGAAATGAACTATAGGTGCCTTCAACAACTTAGTGAACTCTCAAATTTCTTATACTGAGTGAAAGATGTCAAATTCACAAGTTATACTCTCTATATGTCCATTTATATGACATCCTAGAAAAATAAAAAATAAGGGGATAGAAAACAGATCAATGGTTTCCAAAGGCTGCCATTTGGGAGGGGATGACTGCAGATGAGCAGAGGAGGGTTGAGGGTGATAGAACTGCTTCATATTTTGATTGTGGTTGTGGTTACATGACTATATGCATTTGTTAAAACCTATCTATACATATAAAAGGATGTGCTTTGGGTAAGTCATACTATAGAAAAACAAAAAGAAAAAAGAAAGTGGTATGAACAGGTATAGCAGTAACAGGGATGGAGAAGAAGAGGAGAGAACCAGGAGTTTATTAAAAAGACCTTAGGGGCTTTTCACCTGGTAAGGAAGAGGTGACTCAAGATTGTACAATTAGGTGAATGATATAGTTTTCACCTAGACAGGTAACATAGATAAGAATGGGGAAGAAGAAGAAGTGAATTAGGGATCTGTTAAGTTTCAAGTGCCTGTGGGGGTTCAACAGGTAGCTAGGAGAAAGCTATGGATGAAAATATAGATTGGGAAGTCATTATGGATTTTTTCCTGAAAGTGACCAAGTTATTCTAGAGTGTTGATGCTGAAGTACTAACGCTGATGTTTAGAAGGGAGAAAGGGGATATAAAGCAGTCTGGAGAGAGAGGCCAGAGAGGTCTGAATGTTATCTCATCAAAGTCAAGGGAAGACACAACATTCTGAGAAGAATGTTGGACACTAAAGAGAATGTCTTAAAAAAAGAAAAAGTCCATTTGATTTAGCAAACCATTTGTAGATAGTGGTTTCAGGGATTAGAAGTCGCAGTTGGAAGATGCTGAAGACTAAGTGGGAGGTTAGGAAGTGTAGGCAGCCAGGCCTGGCTACTTTTTCCAGAAGTTTGTTTGTGAACGGTTATAAAGAACCAAAACAGAGCCAGGTATGATGGCTCATGTCCATAATCCCAGCTACTCAAGAGGCAAAAATTGGGAGGACCACAGTTAACGCCAGCCCAGGAAAAATGTTAGCAAGACCCCACTTCAACAAACAAGCCTGGCATGAAGGTGTACAACTATAATTCCAGCTACACAGCAGGCATAGGTAAGAGTATTTAGTCTGAGACTAGCAAGGGCAAAAATATAAGACCATATCCCAAAAATAACCAAAAGCAAAAAAAGGGTGGGGGCATGGCTCAAGCAGTAGAGTGCTTGTCTAGCAAGTGCAGGCCCTGAGTTCAAACCCCAAAAGTGCCAAATAAATAAACAAACAAAAGAAGTAAAATACAAGGTGAAAGCTAGAGAATCCTAGGGTGAAGAAGGATCTTTTGTTCACCTCTAAGGAAGTAAATCAACAGAGGAGGGGCTGAAATGCAAGAAAGTGATAGGGTAATAGAAGGCTGCCCCAGATGACCAGGTGGAATTTTACCAAGAGGTTGTAATGAAAGGTAAAGAGGCAAAAGAGCCAAGGGTATTCACAACAGATCATGGAAGCATCCAGTCTTGACATCTAGGCTGCTTCAAGATGCTAGTGGCCTTTGATGTGGAGGAGTATTGTAGATGAATATAAGGATCCAGGAAGTAGAACTTTGTAATTCCTGTCATGAGTTCTGGTCATATGATCAAGTGGATTGAGGAGGAGGAAGTGTAAATTCAAATCCTGAGTCTAATTTATGTCTTTAAGTCTCAGTTGGCTCATCCAGTAAGTGGGGATGGGTAAAATGAATAGCTCTCTCATAGAGTTTTCCTAGAGATTATATGGGTGCATGTCTATAAATATGTCAACAGATACTCAGTGAATAGAGAGGATTTGTACTCAGGGTTCTGATCTCTGGGTTGGATTCCTTTGGTTGTAAACACCTCCCAAAGAACAGAAAGTACAGCATTAATATGTATATATGACATTCTGGGGCCAGACCTATGATATAAACACTGAGCACACAGGGAAAAGACAACAGGGAGTGGTTATGGTGAGCCTCTACTGAAAGCATTCACATTCAGATGTTTGAAGCACAATGCTGCCTAAAGACAGCCTATTTGTGGTCCTCAGTTCTAACCTCTGTTTCTGTTCCTAGTATAAACAACTTCAGTAATTCCCAGGCCATGCCTCTGACTGTTTTTCTTAAATTCCCAACAGATGGCTGTAATGGGTACAAACTATATTTTGTGATTAAATCTCCAAGTTACAGTGTCTTTCCCACAATTGGAATTATATTTAATATTATTATTTGCACCTTACCTTGTTTAAATGTGGGAATTTAAATCTTTTGTCTAAAAGACTCCCAAACTCTGCAGTTGCCAAAATAACAGATAATTGTAGCAAATTAGCCAGGGCTTATAAACCCCAAATCTGAAAGAAATTAAGCAGTGCCTGAAATGAATTAGTCT